GCATGCACGACGGACAGAGCCTGGCGGCAGATGCGGCAACACATCAATACTATACGTACAAGTACGTATGTAGACCACCAACCATCATCACGACCATCATCATCATCATCATCACCAGCAGCAGCCGCACCATCATCACGACCATCATCATCATCATCATCATCATCATCATCATCATCATCATCAGCATCATCATCATCAGCATCAGCATCATCATCATCATCATCATCATCACGACCATCGTCGTCGTAAGCATCATCATCAGCAGCAGCAGCATCAGCATCATCACCAGCAGCAGCACCAGCATCATTATCACAGCCAGCATCACCAGCAATAATATAACTATTCGTATTACCATCATCATCGTAAACAGCATCAGCATCAGCATCAGCATCATCATCATCATCAGCAGCATCACGATCACCATCATCATTACCATGGCCAGCGCCATCACCAGCATCATGAGGAGCAGCTTAATCAACAGCATCATCAACGAGTGGCACATATCGATGCAGGCAGCAGCTGGCGCCAGGAGGCGCAGGGAGGCTCGCCGAGGGGAGTGATGGATGGGGAGAAGGACCAGACCCCCGAAAAGACTCGGCCGAAATCAATATGGCATTGGTGCTGCTGGTGGCAATGAGGGTGGTGATGACGATGCTGATGATGGAGATAATGATGTTGATGTTGATGGCGATGATGATGCTGATGATGGTGCTGGCGACGATGATGATGGTTGTGATGATGATGCTGCTGATGATGATGGTGATGATGGTGATGGTGATGGCGATGGTGATCGGTGATTGTGCTGCTAGTGATGCTGACGGCGACGACAGCGACGATGATGATGGTGATGATACTGATGTTTATGATTATGATGATACGTATGCTGAGACTGCTGATAATAATCATGAGGATGATGATGGCCATGATGATGATGATGATGCTGATGATGCTGATGATGATGGTGATGGTGATGATGATGATGCTGATGATGAAGATGATGATCTTGATGGTGACGGCATTAGTGATGATGATGGCAATGGCGGTGGTGATGACGATGTTGGCAGCTATGTTGGTGATGTTGCTGACGATGACGCTGATGATAAGACAGATGATGCTAATATCGATGGCTATGATGCTGACGATGATGATAATGACAATTATGATATTGTTGTTGATGATGCTGGTGATGGTGATGTCAATGATGCAACTGATGATCATGCTGCCGGCGACGGCGACGACGACGATGATGATGACGATGACGATGATGCTGACGATAATGATGATGATGCGGCTGCTGCTAATGATGATGCTGATGGTGGTGGTGGTGATGATGAAGAAGGAGAACAAGGGCGGAGGGGGAGGAGGGGGAGCAGGAGGAAGAGGAGGAGGAGCGCAGAGGAACGCGGGGCACCGTCTCGTCAAAGCGAGGACCCAACACCACAGAATGGCTGGGACAACTCCAGATGTCGGGGGTGTGGCCTCTGGGCACTGGTCAGGACCTGTCGCCCTCGGGGACCGTCCGAGAGCGGCGGCAACCCCTTGCAACGGCAAACTCGACGCTGATGTCCCCCCTCTCCGAGGATCGACCTAAACAATCCTTGTTCCGTTTTCGTGTTGTAATCGTTGCGTCCCCAAGCCGCATATGCTGCAGAACGCAATCGAAACGAGAACGGCCCACAAAAGTGCCAGAGCACCGATTAGGTCCACCCCTGCCCCTTTCCTTCATGGCGGATAGACCTCCTCCAGAAGCAACAAACGGGACGAACATACATTTTCGGTGATTCCGTGCGGATTTCTTGGAGCGGCGCTGAGAGCTCCTCCCTGGCGCGCGGAACGCGCCGGTGGCGGCGTCGGACCCGCCGCCATGGGCGCTCCAACGCCGATCCAAGATATTTGTGTGGAGATGGAGCCCCCAAAGGTCATGTTTATGCTGTTTACTGCTCCACGTTAAGAAGTAGTTGACCAAGACCAGCTACCAAGACGCAGGCCAACCAACATCTCACACACACACACACAGGGATAGCACTTCAAAACACAATCATCCATCCACACGAATCCAACACCCGGCTAGTTCCACCTGGTCAATTTCGACTCACCTGCGAGCCCCCCCGACCCCCGACCCGCAGCAAGATCGCCAGGGTCGCTGGGCGCCTGGCGATGATGACCTGGAACTTCGAGAGCCGCAGCAGCCGCACCAGGCGCAGGAACCGCATGAGCCTAGCGCGGAGCCGCGCGAGGCCGCCCACTTGACTTCGTCACGGCTGGCCGCAATTCCCCGACATCCGGCGATATGATTCTTTCGATCATGGCGGTCTTCCTCGATTGCGACCTTTTGGGCACGTTGTCGGGCCCAGGGGCCGCCAGAACTGGATCCCGGAGGAAAGCGTACCCCCGGGGTAGCGGTCGGGACCTCTGGGGCCAAGGATTGAACAAAATCAGATCGGCGGATGTCACGCTTCCAGAAATGATACCTCAGGTACTCTGGGAAGAGTCGCAGGGGCAGATGTTCAGCTGGCTTTGGCCAGGGTTCGAAGACAGCGGTGTTCGAACACTGGCGCGGGGCGGAGCGGGCAGTACGGAACCGCTGAAGCCAGCGGTGCCGCTTGAATTTAAGATGTCGCTGCAGAGCAGAATCGCAGAGGATGGAGGGAGGAGAGGGTTCCTGTTTTTACCTTCACCTCCGCCGAGGCGGGAGAGGGCTGAGGGACGGAGGAGGGAGGAGAGGGAGGAGAGGGAAGAGGAGAGAGGATGGCGGGAGGGAGGAAAGGGGGGAGAAAATGAGAGATGAGGGAGGGAGGAGAGGAGGGAGGAGGGAGAGAGGAGGGGGGCAGGAGAGGGGATAGGAGGGCCTTTTCCCCCTGACCCTTCGTTTGGAGCCGCCGCTGGCCTCCTCCTCTCCACAGCCCACCTCCCCCTCCTCTTCTCCTCGTCCCGCCCTCGAGCCTCCTCGCTTCCTCCTCCCCCCCTCCGCGCAGACACAGAAGAGAACGATGTTTTCCACCTCCGCGCCAGTACGCACCTCCAGGTGCATGACTTCTTGACGCTGCCGCTGTGCCGCCCCTCCTCTGCCCCTCTTCCGGGGCCCTCCCCCCTCGTCCCTCCTCCCCCGAGCCCCTTAGCCCCCTTCAACCTCTCAGAAGAAACCAAGACGAGGAGAACTAAGATCGGGTGGGGATAAATCGAGGAGCCTCTGAGATGCAGCGGGTCTAGAAAATGTCTCGGGCGCCGCGGCCGTCTCAGATCGTTCCGGAGCGCTCTGAGAGCGTCCCGGAACGCTCTGGAACGGATCTGTCCTCGTCCTAGCCCCATCCCCAGACCCCCGACATTATGGATTTTTCCACGACGTCGACCCCCAGAAATCTCGACCCATGTCCCGGGGACCAGTGCTTCATCCTGCATCGTTTTTATGCCGGCCCCGAGGCCCGGTCAGGGCCCCCATCAAGCCGAAAATCCGCCGGCCCCTTGTGGGGCCACCAGGCTGCAGGACCAAGGTTTGCTGTTCCCTGCACCAGTTCCAGTTTCCAGTTTCCACTGTTACAGTTCTGCTTCTTGCTGCTTACTGTTCCTTGTTGATGGACCGCGCGAGTGGGGGAGCCGAGAAGGAACCTAGTCACCACGCCCGAATCGCGTTGTCTGAATTCCTGGGGGGGGCGTGGGACATGAACAAATACATGAAATTCGCGCCCCCGAGGCCATAAACCCTGGTAAAGTATGCTATGTCCGCGTCCCCGAAGCCATACACCTTCGTAAATTACGCCGTAATCGCGTGTCCGAAGCCATAAACCTTCGTAAATTACGCCGTAATCGCGTGTCCGAAGCCATACACCCTCGTAAATTACACAATAGTTGCGTCTCCGAAGCCATGAACCTGCGTAAATGATACAATATTTGCGACCCCGACGCCATACATCTTTTTATAGATTAGTTGATAATCGCGTGTCCGAAGCCATACACCCACGTAAATTATACAAAACTCGCGTCTCCGAAGCCATAAACCTGCGTAACTTACGCTATACTTGCGAGCCCGAAGCCATACACCCTCGTAAATTCGCCGGCCCAATGGGCCAGCGGCGTGCTAAGATCTCTGGCAACTGGATAACAATATTTCTACTTCGCGCGCGCGGGGCTGCCCCTAGGGGTCCCCTGACGAAAAGTACCTCGGGACGGTCCAGGGACATTCGGGCCAGAGATGGTTTTCCGTTTGGGCGCCGCCCTCGATGCGCTCCACAGAGCCCCAAGAAGGGCCCAGAGGCCTTCAAGAGGCCCCCAAGACAATAGACGACAGGTCCGCGATGCCACAAGATCGCTCCAAGATCGCCTAGACGCCCCGAGAGGCCTCCAAGAACCCTCCCAAGAGAGTCTCCAGGGGCAAAAGTTGATGATTTTCCGTTGGTTTTCTCCTGATTTTGGCTTCTCCGCCTTATCGGCTTACCAGCGCTTCAAAACGGCCCAAGAGGCCCCCAAGATCCTCCCAACACGGCCCAAGAGGACTCCAAGAGGGCCCCCAAACGGCTCCAGCGGGCTCCAAGATAGCCCCAGAGGCCTCCAATATGGCCCAAGAGGCCCCCAAGACTTCCCAAGAGCAGGCCCAGACGGGGGACCCGAACGGAGATTTCGAGCTCTCGGCCCCGAGAGGTCCCCAGGATGCCCCAAGACGCCCCCAAGAAGCTCCCAAGAGGCCCCAAGAGACCCCCAAGAGGCCGCCAAGACGCCCCCAAGAGGCCCTCAAGAGGCCCCAACGAGCGCTCCATGGGGGCCGGCTGAATGAGCGAAGCGATTAAATTACACGCGATTCGCGCATCCGAAGCCATAAACCCTCGAAACACTACACCGAATTCAACAAGATCATCAGAATCTCAATTTGCCTTGCCGATTACTCCTCGTCTTTGCGTGAAGTCCCGACGCTGCTTCACGGCGGCGCGCAAGGCCTCATGATTTCGCTTCTGGCCATCGCTCGGACGTCCATTTCCTGTGTTTTTTTAGTTTCGTGCGTGTTT